CACACTGTTTCTGTCTCTGTCTCTCTTTTCGACAAGTGCACATACCCTATGGCAAAAGACTCTTAAAAAAAAAAAAAACTATATGGGAAATGATGAGAATATAAACCAAAGATGATAATGTAATATGCTACACAAGCTAATAAGTATAACAATGGTAAGCACAGAGCATAATTATTATACAATCGTTCATTCATAAAACAGTTATTTGAATTTTCTATTTATTCAAAATTATACAGTTAATATTTTTAAATTATAATTTTTAATCATGAAATCTAACCTCATTTTTTTTTAGGAGTACCAGTACAGTTATGCCCACCTCCACCTCAGATTCCTAATGCTCAAGATATGAAGACTACAGTGAATTATCAGGATGGAGAGAAGGTGTCTGTTCTTTGCCAAGAAGGTTACCTAATTCAGGAAGCAGAAGAAATGGTGTGCAAAGATGGGAAGTGGCAGTCATTACCACGCTGTGTTGGTCAGTGTGCACAATCGTCGGATAGCAAACGTTCTTTCTAATGGGATTGATACATCACCATGCTCTGTGTAAATGAAAACAAAGATCTTGTTCTATTGTCTGTTATCTTTGTCTTGAAATCATAAGTTGTAATCTAGCCATAAATCAATCAATAACCATTATTTCACTTCTGAGAACAAAATACAGACAATTTGGGACTGCAAGCATTCGAGGTGAAACTGAACTTTAATTTTACTGGATGAATTACATAACCCTAATGATGACAAGGTATCACAATCCTTCAATTTGTAGTAAACTTGGAATTTAATGTTTTTATTTAGAAATTTCCTGTGAATTACCAGAAATTAGAAATGGATTTTCTCTATCCCAGAAGACGACTTTTAGGGAGAATGAACGATTGCAATATAAATGTCATTCAGGCTTTGTTTACCGTGAAAGAGGAGATGCCATTTGCACAGCATCTGGATGGAGTCCAAGTCCTTTCTGTGAAGGTAATCTCCTATTTATTTTGTTAATTTTATTATAAATTTTATCAGTCGTTTTAGTGAATATATTTCTTTTGAGCAATCAATTAATTTTTTCTCATAGGGTATTAATTTTTATAGTAATCAACTGTTATAAAGACTAATGCCATAGAATTATATATGTGCAAGATCCATTTGAAGATCAATTTATATGATCCTCTCACTTGAAAAATAGATATACATAGATTCAATAGCTTATTAAATAGTTGGCCCCAGCCCAGTAGATGGCACGGTGGTTAAGGCACTAGACTCCCACATGGCTGATAGTGGTTCAAGTCCTGGATCAGGTAGTTTAAAATTTACACTGGGTAGCTTGTGTATGCATGCCCAAAATCCTGAGAGGAGAATGGGAAGAAGGGGTTGTGGCATTTCCATTCCCCCCTTGGGGGTGATTTCTCACATTCTC